TTCTTTCTTTCTTTCTTTCTTTCTTTCTTTCTTTCTTTCTTTCTTTCATCTATCTATCACCTCTCTCAGCTATCAACTTTTCTTCTTTATCTCTATTGTCCTTTCTCCCATCCATCCATCCACCCATCCATCCATCGACCTACCTACCTATCATCTATCTATCTATCTATCTATCTATCTATCTATCTATCTATCTATCTCTATCCCTCGATACATTGACCTACCTATCATCCATCCACCTACCCACCCAACCATCCATCCATCCACCTATTTATCTACCTACCTATTTATCTACCTACACACCCACCCATCCATCCATCCATGTCCCATATCTGTCTGTCTACACTATAAGTACAGATAGTCCTTGAGTTATGACAACAATGAAGCCCAAAATTTCTGTTGCTCAGTGAGACATTTGTTAAGTGAATTTTGCCCCGTTTTATTACCTCCCTTGTCATGGCTGTTAAGCGAATCATTGCGGTTGCTAAGATAGTAAGACAATTGTTAAGGGAATCTGGCTTGGCATGTCGGAAGGTCACCAAAAAGGATCATGTGACAACCCCCCCCCCCCCCCCCCCCGAGGATGCTGCCACCGTCGTAAGTCCAAAGCAAGCATCCGGGTTTTTTAATCTCTATAGTCCACTCTGTTGCCGAAGTCGTATTTTCTGCAATTGAGTTTGGAGTAGTTTACCTTAAGTTTGTCTCTATTGTGTGCTCGTGTATTGTTGTGGTTGAAGCTGAAGGAGTCACTGACAGGTAGGACATTGTAGCAGGTAATTTTATGTTTTTTACGCTTAGGTCGGACCAAAGTCGGCATAGTTCTAGGTTGTCTAAGCCTAGAATTTCAAATCTGGAGGCATAAGGTATTCTGCTGTGAGTAAGGGAGTGGAGAACTCTTCTTGCGAAATATCTCTGGACTCTCTCGATTGCATTCATGTCCGATGCGCAATCTTGTGCAGTTTCTTTTTTCGTTTTAAATCTACAAACCTGCCTAGACTTGGATATAACAAAGTGGCAGGGGAAACAGCTTGATTCTTAAAAATAAATAAATAAAACAAAATACCCAAATCAAAACGAACCTCTGACCTAACGAGATTCCCAGCTGAGCTCCCTTCTCTCGGAGTGGTTTTCGTTCCCCTTCTCATCGAGCTGGAAGTAGAAGGAATCCGTTTGAAAATCCCAAGCTTTCCTTCTACGCTCTGTAGCCCTTGGACGGGCTTTTGATAGCTTTTCTCCCATGCTGGGTGAACCAAGCGTTCACCTCACTGGTGCATAGATGCGCATGATTGAATCCGGGCATGCCGGCTTTGCTAGATTGAGAACGAAGACTGAGAGAGAATGCACAAAAGGCTCCGGCTTTCGGCTCCCCACTGCTTGTATGTCGGTAATAAAATCTCCTTAGAAGTTGCCATTGGCAGAAAGGAATAAATATTTATGGGCCTTCGCTTTTCACTTAACTGGGTCTGACTAGCATTCTCTTGTTAATCTTGCTTGTTCTGGCAGCTCCTCCTTTGCAAGGGTCATCAGGAGAGCTGCTTTGTTCCCAGATCAGAATGTCAATCTCTCTAACTCTGGTTTTTACTTCTTATCAACAGTAGAAACTCAGGCAGGCAAACAACAGGATGCCCAACATTGGCCCTCGGATCATTTTAACCAGAGGCAAAATAAGATCAGTTATTTGGCTCAAAGGCTTCTCATTAATACAGCTGGAAGAGGCCTTGGAGGTCTTCTAGTCCACCCCCCTGCTCAAGCAGGAGACACTATATCATTTCAGACAAGTGACTCTCCAGTCTCTTCTTAAAAACCTCCTGTGATGGAGCACCCACAATTTCTGAAGACAAGCACTTCCACTGGTTAATTGTCCTCCCAGTTCGGAAGTTTCTCCTTAATTCCAGGTTGCTTTTCTCCTTGATTAATTTCCATCCATTATTTCTTGTTTTCTATTCTGGTTTTTGCGGGAATAAGTTGACCCTCCCTCTTCTTTGTGGCAGCCCCTCAAATACTGGAATGCTGCTATCTTGTCACCCCTTAATTCTTCTTTTCTTCAGACTAGCCAGACCCAAATCCTGCAGCCCTTCTTCATAAGTTTTTGTCCCCAGGCCTTTTAATTATCTTAGCTGCTCTTCTCTGCACTTGTTCCAAAGTCTCAACATCTTTTTTGTAATGTGACCAAAACTGGATGCAGGGTTCCAGGTGTAGCCTTACTAAGGCTTTATAAAGCAGTACTAATATTTTACCTGATTTTGATTCTATGCCTCTGTTTATACAACCAAGGATTGTATTAGCTTTTTTGGCTGCTGCCACACACGGCTGGCTCATGTTTAAACTGATCATCCACTAGGACTCCAAGGTCTCCCTCACAGTTACTGTTTTTGAGGTTTTGCCTAATTTGCACTTGTTACCTTTGGTTTTTTTCCTGCCTAATTGTAAAACCTCGCTTTTCTCCCCATTAAATTTCATGTTGTTGGATCGAGCCCTTTGTTCAAGTCTGTGAAGATCCTTTTGGATTTTGGATCTGCAACTTAACCGGCTTCTTAAACCTCCATTTGATTTCACTCAGACCTTTTGCGTCAAGCTTTGGGAGGCACAGCTATCTCACGAGCGGCGATTTTACACTGAGTCCTCTAGAAAGATGGCTTGGTCGACGGGAGCAGGGCTGCCAATTGGCTCCTGAAAAAGCCACTAATGAAGAGTTGTGCGTGAGTGCAACGTTTCCCCTGCCCTGAATTCTAAAGTTCGTTGACAGTCGCTCAAACCCACCACAAGGGCAAAGTCCAAACGATCAATGGTCCAGATGAGTGCGCCGTAATTCCACCTTCGTTCCTAAACAGGGTACCAAGGGACATGGACCTCTGTGTGCCAAGAGAAGCCTTTTGAGCATTTGCCCAGCCTCAGGAGGTACGCTTAAAAGCTACACAAAGGATGCTTCTCGCTGCCAACTGCAGCATTAGCTTCTAGGTTTGACAAGACAGAAGATTAATATGGTGGAAGACATGGCTGCAAGATGTAGTTGTTCGCCAAGGAAGCTTCCCTTTGATTTGAGAATGGAAAGGAGAAAGGGCAGCTTTGCTTCCTGGGATGGCAGGAGAAAGAGCTGCCAAGTTTTAACTAGAGGCCGGGTGCTTTTGACGGATGCTAATTTTACCTTGAGAGTTTTCCATGACTCAACAAGACCCAGCGAATTGACGTCAAAGAGGCCAGGCGTGGCAGTGTGGGGCCACAGTCTCTGCCATCTGGATTTAGAACCGTAGCAGATGTGAGGCCAGCTGTTCCTTCATCCCAGCGGAGCCTTGCTCTCCTCCCGGGCTCTCCCAAATCAGAATGGGACAACTCGCCGTGGCCAAACTCCCTGCAACTGACTCGCTGCAGAACAACTGGCCGCGGGACAATGTAACAATTCAGTTTAATTATTCAAAATAAATAAATAGAAAATATTTGAATGTTTGTCGTCCGCATTTCATTCTGTTCCCCCTTTTTGCATCCTTTCTGTGGCTAACGGAGCTGGCAGCAGAGTCGGAGAGCGAGGCGGTTGGGGAGGAACCTGGGCCAGTCCTGGAGGCTGAGGAAGGCTCGGACGAGGGCTCTGCTTCAGAGGCAGAGATGGGGCCAGGGCAGACTGGCAGTCGTCAGCTACCTTTGGGCTTGGACAGCAGTGAGGCAGGGGAGCAACTGGAACCGGTTCCCAACCTGCGCATGTGCAGAGCTGCCAAAAGGAAGGAACAATTAAGAACTCAGGGTCGACGTGGGAGTAAGGCCGCTGGTGGATCATGAACGGCCCCTCCCTTAAGGATTAAAAGAGGAGCAAAAGAGGATGGGGCTTTTGCAGGAAACAATTCATTCGTTCGTTTGTTTCAGCCTCGTGAAGCTCTTTCTGTGTAACCTAAAGACTCTGTGCCCAACCCTTCCCTGTCAGCACTGTGTTTGGAGATATTTACCAGGATAGATAAGGTCTGAGCTCATAATTATTATACCTTTGCAAGACTGTTTGCCAGGCCGTTAGCTGCATGTGAATGCAAGAAATTCACATCCATTTAATAAAAGAGGTTTTGCCAAGACAAAGAGTTGGCTTAGTACTTTTTGGGGAAGTCTAGGACAGAACATTTTATGATTCTATTCTATCATTTCTTTGATATTGGTATCTCTCATAGAGTGTGCACAGGTCTATCATGTGTATCAACCCAGGAGCAAGTACAGTCAACAGTGGTATGTATCCAATAATGTTTTACAATAATAATATAATGTTTTTTATCTACAATAGGAATATAGGAATACTATACATACACGTGCTGCAAGCCGTAGCTAAACAAGCAGCAATTACAGCAGGGAAGAACCTCGAGGAATGAACCAACACTCTAGCAGGGCCTCCTCTTATTACACAGGCTCTTAAAGGGATAACAGCCAAAAAACTCTGCTGACTCATTGCCCTCATTGCATCAGCTGGCCAGCTCTTAAATTATCACCTTGAGAGTGTGACTCTTGACCCACAGCCAAATGTCCCTCAGTGAGTTGGCCATGGCAGGTCGGTCGCGGCGAGTTGGCTATGGTGAGTTGGCCGAGGTGGATTGTCCTAGACCCCTTCCAAATTTGATGGGCTCTTGTTGGCTTTTGACAATGAAATTCTTCCCAGGCGGCCCATTCTCTAACAGCAGTCACAAAGTCCATCCCAAGAAGACCTCCCACCATAGCTGGGACGGGCGATGTGGGATGCAGCATCGACCGCAGGTAGCCCTCAACTTACAAGAGTTCTTTTAATGACTGTTTGAAGTGACCATGGCACTGAAAAAAAAGTGACTTAGGGACCTTTGGAGCACCTCTATAGTGACATGATCACAATTTGGATGTTGGACAACTGGAACATATATATGATGATTTATGGGTTGGTGGGTAGGTGAGTGGATGGATGGATGGATAGATAGCGTCAGGGTTCCAAGTAACGCCCCTTTTAGGGTGATAGATAGATAGATAGATAGATGATAGATAGATAGATGATAGATAGATAAATAGATAGATAGATAGATAGATAGATAGATAGATAGATAGATAGATAGGCATGAATGGGCGATGGCTCTATAAAAGCTATACGAAGTTGCAGCATCCAAGGATGATGATCTCTGCTCTCTAGTCTAGATCCCCAGCAGATCTTCAGATCCTCCAGCCACCAGTGGGCTTCTCTCTGATTGCCAAATACAATTAGCTTCCTCTCTTGGCTTCGGCTCCCGCTTTTTGCTGCCTGTCGAAATTGATTCTCATTTGCTTTCATCTCAATGTCACTGGCCTTCGGCAGAAACATTTCCAAAGGGAGTATCGATTCATTCAAAACCAGCGGATTGCTGGCAAGCCAAAGCTTAGAAGCAGGAGGGCAGAGGGAGGGGGCAGGCAAAACAAGCGAGGGATTTCTGAAGGGAGGAGGAGGAGGAGGAGGAGGAGGAGGAGGAGGAGGAGATGAAGCCAGAGGCTGAGGGGAGGAGA